TTTAATGAAGAAGCTGAAAGCCGCAGGAGGGAGAAGAGGAGAATTGGCTTCCAGCTGCTTCATTGAAAGCCATACAGGAGATTGCTGCTTGTCACCGCTGCACAGATCATACCTGATCATTCCATTTCTTTCCTGGCCCCCCGCCCCTCCCCATATCCACCGCACCAATAGGAGACTGGGCACTGAGGAGCACACAGCAGGGGGGAGCCAGGAAAGAGGTGGAGCCTAAAGAGGAAGGGGTGGATCATAAAAAGGAAGGGGTTGGGCACATTTAGATGCAGGGGGCTGCCCGATTTTAGTCTTGCCTAGGGCAGCACAAAACCAAAATACACCACTGCCCGTCAGGGATGCTTGGTAATCATTGGAAGGGACCCGGTGATTGACAGTCGCAGACACGAAGGGCCCTCTACCCTGAAGTGCAAAATTACGTATATATACGTGACTTTGTGCACCCCTGCCACCCAGTAGCAGTATATCTGCTATAGGGCGGCAGGAAAGTGGTTAATATGTGAAGTGTGACTTCATTTTTTTAATGATGAACCAGTTAAAGCATATATACTTTATTACTGCAGTCTAGTGTGATATTACAGATTTATCCTCCTGGTGTCTGACACACACAAAGTCTCATTATTGCTGGAGATAGAACAGGACCACCCAGTTATATCGGATGCAACTGTATACTCCGGTTCTTTGTTTTTTGTTCTAGATATATGTTGGAATGATGCCACGCCATGGGTACATATACTAGATTCCAGACCCATCTTTTGTTTTATAGATACTATGGTGGTTGCTTTTAGTTCGTCTATTCTCTTTAATCGGTTTGTTTAATCTATCCACTCCTTAATGGAGGGGACAACCTGAGTATTCCAATATCTGTTATTGTACGTGCTGCGGAGAATAAATAACAGGACAGTCCTCTTTTTTAAGCTTTCCAGATTATGGAAAAATAGACAGTACTGCTATTTCTGGGGACATCTGATAAGATACAGTGAGGAACAGAAGTATTTGAGCACCCTGCGATTTTGCAAGTTCTCCCACTTAGAAATCATGGAGGGGTCTGAAATTTACATTGTAGGTGCATTCCCACTCTGAGAGACAGAATTTTTTATAAACAATTCAGGAAATCACATTGTATGATTTTTAAAGAATTTGTCTTGCATTGCTGAACATACAGTTGCAAGAAAAAGTAGTGTGAATGGGATTAAGTGGCGTTTTTGCATGAATTGGGCATAAAATGTGCTCTGAACGTCATCTAAGTCACAACAATAGAAGAACACAGTCTGCTAAACATTAGATGTATTAGATGTTGCCATGGTTTAATTGCACATAACATGTAAACATTCACAGTGCAGGGAGGAAAAAGTATGTGAGGCCCTAGCTTAATGACTTCTCCCAGAGCTAATTGGAGCCAGGAGTGAGCCATCCTTGACTCCAGTCAGTGTGATGATATTGGATGTTGTTGCTAGCTGTCCTGACCTGTTTTGGGTTTACTGGTTTCAAGAAGCACTGTCTGATGTGAACCATGCCTCACAGAAAAGAGCTCTCAGAAGACCCACGATCAAGAATTGCTGACTTGCATGAAGCTGGAAAGGGTTACAAAATGATCTCCAAAAGCCTTGATGTTCATTGTGTGTCCATGGTAAGACAGACTGTCTACAAATGGAGAAAGTTTAGCACTGTTGCTACTCTCCCTAGGCGTGGTCGTCCTGTAAAAATTGCAAGAGCACAGCGCAGAATGCTGCATGAGGTAAAGAAGAATCCCAGAGTGTCAGCTAAGACCTACAGAAATCTCTGGCACATGCTTACATTTTTGTTGACACATCTACAATAAGGAAAACATTAAACAAGAATGGAGTACATGCGAGGACACCATGGAGGAAGCCATCGCTGTCCAAAAAGAATATTGCAGCATGTTTGAAGTTTGCAAAAGAGTGGATGTTCCACAGCACTACTGGCAAAATATACTGTGGACAGATGAAACCAAGATTGAGTTGTTTGGGAAGAACACACAACACTGTGTGGAGAAAAAAAGGCACAGCACACCAACATCAAAACCTCATCCCCACTGTAAAACATGGCGGAGGGAGAATCATGGTTTGGGGCTGCTTTGCTGCCTCAGGGCCTGGACGGATTGTTGTCATTGATGGGAAATTGAATTCCAGAGTTTATCAAGACATTTTGCAGGAAAAGGTACGACCATCTTCTGCCAACTGAAGCTCCGCAGAGGATGGGTGATGCAACAGGACAATGACCCAAAGCATACAAGTAATTCAACAAAACAATGGCTGCAACAGCACAGAATACGCCTTCTGGAGTGGCCCAGTCAGAGTCCTGACCTCAAACCGATTGAAATGCTGTGGCATGACCTTAAGAGAGCGATTCACACCAGACATCCCAATAATATTGCTACACTGAAACAGTTTTGTGAAGAGGAGTGGTCCAAAATTACTCCAGATCGTTGTGCAGGTCTGATCTGCAACTACAGGAAACGTTTGGTTGAGGTTATTGCTGCCAAAGGAGGGTCAACCAGTTATTTCCAAAGGTTCACATATTTTTTCCTCCCTGCACTGTGAATGTTTACATGTTATGTGCAATTAAACCATGGTAGCATCTAATGTTTGTGTAGTATTATGTTCAGCACTGTGTTCTTCTCATTGTTGTGACTTAGATGACGTTCAGAGCACATTTTATGCCCAATTCATGCAAAACTCCACGTAAATCCCAAGGGGTTTCACATACTTTTTCTTGCAACTGTAAGTATTTGAACACCTGAGAAAATCAGTGTTAATATTTGGTACAGAAGCCTCTGTTTGCAATTACAGAGGTCAAACGTTTCCTGTAGTTCTTGACCAGGTTTGCACACACTGCAACAGGGATTTTGGCCCACTCCTCCACACAGATCTCCTCTAGATCTGTCAGGTTTCGGGGGGGGGGGTGATGACTTGAGCAGGGGAACCTTCCATGCAATGAATGATTTCAAACCATGACGGCGTAGTGTTCTACTGACAGTGACCTTTGAAACTGTGGTCCCAGCTCTCTTCATGTCATTGACCAGCTCCTCCCGTGTAGTTCTGGGCTGATTCCTCACCTTTCTTATCATCAGTGATACCCCACGAGGTGAGATCTTGCATGGAGCCCCAGTCCGAGGGACACTGACAGTCATCTTTAGCCTCTTCCATTTTCTAACAATTGCTCCAACAGTTGATCTATTTTCACCAAGCTGCTTGGCGATTGCCCCGTAGCCCTTTCCAGCCTTGTGGAGGTCCACAATTTTGTCTGTTAACAGCTCTTTGGTCTTGCCCATAGTGGGGAGGACAGGTGTCTTTAAAGAGCTCAGACAGGTGCTACTAAGTTAGATTAATGAGTGGAGTAGAGGTGGACTTTTTAAAGGCACAGTAACAGGTAGTAACAGGTCTTTGAGAGCCAGAACTCTTGCTGTTTCTTAGGTGTTCAAATACTTATGTTCAGCAATGCAAGACAAATAAATTCTTTTAAAAATCATACAATGTGATTTCCTGAATTTTTTTTTTTATTCTGTGGGAATGCACCTACAATGTGAATTTCAGACCCCTCCATGATTTCTAAGTGGGAGAACTTGCAAAATCGCAGGGTGTTCAAATACTTCTGTTCCTCACTGTATGCCATTAATATGTGAGCAAATACGAAATACTAATTCCCAAAATGGTTTAATCCTAGAACAGGAGCACCATACATGAGTCATTGTACCTTCATCCTCCCCACAGTACCAAAACTTTTCACTCCAATTACAGCTGCAAGTCTCTACTAACTTTGCACATCTGGAGAGTGAACTTTTTGCCCATTCTTCTTTGCAAAATAAACTTAAGCTCTGTCAGATTGGATGGGGAGTGTCTGTGAACAGCAATTTTCAAGTCTTGCCACAGATTCTCAATTAAATTAAGGTCTGGACTTTGACTGGGCCATTCTAACACATGAATATGATTTGATCTAAACCATTCCATTGTAGCTCTGGCTGTATGTTTAGGGTTGTTGTCATGCTGGAAGGTGAACCTCCACAAGGCACTGTACCTACCCTCTGGATCAACAAGCTTCTGAACATCAGAGACTGGGATAGAGGAGTGTAAACCAATTGCCACCCCTTTAGATTTACCTTTTGGGTTATAGCTCATAAACCAAGATGAATAGTATCTAGTAGGCATTCGAGGAACTGAAGTAGATTTAAAATGGGTTTCCTATAAAAAGAGAATATGGACCTTTTGTTTGTGCATATCATATATTACCTGAGATCACTTTTGTGGCATATTCAGACATTTAGGGAACCATATTTAAGAAGTGTCATAATAAAAAATTAATAATGGCTTCCATAGCTTCCTTTGCATTCTGTTTTGAAAAAGAAGATGCTCTCCCACACCACACATAAAAATCCAACAAAAACAAAACAAAACAAAAAAAAAAGAAAAAAAAGATATAAGACCTTCCCATAAGGAGCAGAGACTCAGTAAGTACCTCCTGCGATCTACATGTCACGGAGTATTCGGAAAGATCTGCAGCTCTGAAAAAAGTATCCAGCCCATTGAGATTTTAAAAACAAAGCAAAGAAAAAAAAAAGAAAACCCTAGGTTTGACCTAGTAACTTCAAACCCTCAAAGCAATGGGTCAGGTAACTAACTCCCAAGAGAGCTCCTACTGTCCCCAGTCATGTAGGTCCTTATATCATTCATGTGAGCATTGAGCCATCAGGTCTTAGATAAAAATCACCAAAACCATCCTAATCAGCATTATACACCAGAGAAACCTAATTACTATATCAAGTATAGTGGCATGGTTTTAGAGACGTTCTGAGATTTATATACAAACAGCAAATAATATTAAAAAAGAGAAAAGAAAAAAAAAAGAAAACATCCTCTCTCTGCTTCTCAAAATTAAATTTTTTGGGAGTGTTTTGAATACCATTGGTGTACAGAAAACCTCAAGATTGCCATATTGCATTGAATTTTTTGACAGTTTTTGGAAATTACAGCTGCTTTAGATTGAAATGGAAAGGTAATTTTTAATAAACACTAAACCACGAATGAAAGTGGGATTCCCTTTATGTGTGTATATAGCTGTCTGCCTGGCGTTGAGCTTGAACAACGCAAACTTTTTTGTGTAATATTTTCCTCTAAATCCTTTTCTAGTGGTATTTTCAGGTCAAAAAGCATGAGGACTCAATAGGGAACTTTTGCTGTGATTTGCTAGAAAAAAAATCAATTTTTTATAAAACCAGAATGTGAAGATTTGTGAATATGCATGGATATTTTTTCTACCACAAATTAAATAACTGGGCACATTGAATTTAAAAGGTGCATTGAATTTACAAAGTGCAGTCTTTTCCGGTACCGTCTCCTATCTATTCATTCATTCTCACTGTGTTGTATGGAAATTAATTATTTCTCTGCTGCAGAACATTGAACTATTCACATCAGTCTCTGCTTCTGAAGGAGCTTACAATCTAAAGTTCATTCCACAGATATTAACGTTAAAAATATCTGCAGACCCCAGACAAAGAACATTGTGAGGCTCCCCAATCCCCTAAATCTTCTGGGCAGCTGCCTACAACCATATATGAGATTTACATAAAAAGGCACCCATATGGATTTTCTACGATTTATTACTTGGCATTGTTAACATGAAGCTAAAAAAAAGAATTCTACATTTATTTCAGTCCTATCCACTTTACCTTTAGTCATATATATATATATATATATATATAGATATATATATATATATCTATATATATATATATATATCTATATATATCTATATATATCTATTTACAACAAAGAACATTGAAGAAAAGTGGGAGGACATATTGATGGCATTCGTCAGTTCATTCTAATGGTAAACAAATATAAAAGAACAAAAGGTAAACCTAGGTGGCTAAATGCTGATGTAAAAGGCATATTAACAAGATAAAACAATCCTTTAATAAATATTAGGTCTAAGGGTCACCACTGGCATTCCAAAACTACAAAGAATGCAATAAGAAATGCAAGATCAGGGCAGTTAAAATAGACTATGGTGACACATTGTTGAGGAGAGTTAAAAAAAATCCCCTAATTTTTCAAATATGTTAATAATAAAAAGGTGAGGTTAGAATATATTGACCCCAAAAGAGATGATCAGGGGAAGATGGTCACAAGTGGCAAGTAGTAGAAGGCAACAGTATTAAGTGCACTCTTCTCCTCAGTTTATACAAATGAAAAAGAGAGGTATAATAAACAAGACAGTATTGTTCATAACATTGTATTGCATGCACCCTTGTGGCTGACAGGAAATAGTGTTCAAAAAAAGACTTGAAAAACCTAATGTGAGTAAATGACCGCATGGCTTACACCTAGGAATTCTCAAAGAACCATAGTCATAGTCATGTTATAGTCAGAGCATTGTTCCTTATTTTTAAGAACAGTTTGCTGGCTGAAGTGGTACGGGATGATTGGCGAAAAGCAAACATGGTACTAGGATAGCATACCTGGAAACTACAGACCAGTCAGCCTAACATCAATAGTATGCATGCTATTCGAAGGCATGATAAGGGGCAGTATACAAGAATTTGCTGATAAAAATAGTATCATTAGTAGTAACTACATTGGATTTATGAAGAACCGTCCTTGCCGCACCAACCTTGTCACATTCTATGAAGAGGTAAGCTGTAATTTGGACAAAGGAAGGCTTGTGGGTGTAGTATATCTAGACTTCGCTAAAGCATTTGTAACAATACCCCAGAATATATATATGTACCTGCAGGCCCGGACTAGGACATAAAATAGGCCTGGGCACTTTGGACTGAGCAGCCCAAAGCCCGGGGATCCTTTCCTTGGAGCCCAGTGGCAAAACGCCAGGGCCGATTCGCAAGAGCGACCTTTGCGACCCTGGTAGTTCCGCCACCAGTTTCAGTAGGTTTTTATTTTTATTTCATTTTTGCAACTTTATTTTTTTTTTTTTTTTACATTTGTTTTGTAGGAAGGAAGGAAACAGGAGAGAGAAAGAGAAAGAAAGAAAGAAAGAAAGAAAGAGAAAAACAAAGAAAGTGGAAAAGAAAGAGAGAGAGAGAAAGAAAGAGAGAGAGAGAGAGAGAGAAGAGAGAGAGAAAGAAAGAAGGAGAGAGAAAGAAAGGAGAGAAACAGGAGACAGAGAGAAAGAGAGAGAAAGTAAGAGAGAAAAGAAAGAAAGAAAGAAAGAAAGAAAAAGAAAGAGAGAGAGAGCGAGAAAGAGAGAGAAAGAAAGAAAAAAAAAAATGAGAGAAAGAAAGAAAGAAAGAGAGAGAGAAAGAGAGAAAGAAAAAAAATGAGAGAAATGGGAGACAGAGAGAGAAAGAAAGAAAGAGAGAAGGGGGAGAGAAGACACAAGGCTGGCTGGGAGTGTGGGGGCGGGGCAGACACAGAAGGAGAGGGTGGGAGGCGGAGGGGCAGCTTTCTCTCCCATCTGTATGGGGGGGACCATCAGCACTGGGCACGGAATATGCTGACAGATCCCCCGCATCGCTGAAGGAGATGAGGGAGGGAAGGGGACGACTGGAGGAGATGGGGTGGGGGGCAGCCGCGGGGGGAGCATACGGGAGCTGACCGCATGCAGGAGATGGATAGGAGAGGCAGTCTGGTGGCACATAGAGGGACTGAGAAATGCACGGTCCTCTATGTGCTGCCCTGCCGCCTCTCCTATCCAGGCAGCCCTGGCCCACCGAGCAAATGCCCAGTGTGCCCTATGGTCAGTCCGGGCCTGGGTACCTATAATAAATAAATGGTAGGTGAGTGAGTGCTCCTTGCCTTCCCTGTTCTTAAAGTGGAAGTAAAAGCTTTTTTTAACTTGTACCTACAGGTAAGCCTGTAATAAAGCTTACCTGCAGGTACAGTGAATATCCCCTAAACGTGCACGGCTTAGGAGATATTCAGACTGCATGCAGCCGATGATGTCACTGGCGCATGTGCTCTGAAGGGACAGCATACCTGTGCCGTCCCTTCAGAGCTCTGTACAACAGCTGAAAATCCTGTGCGCATACGCGGGAGTGACGTCATTGTGTCTCGACCAGTCAGATGGATGGAGCATGCAATCTTGGAAGGAAGACCAGGTAAAGATGGAAGTCCTGTCAGTGGTGACAGCACGCTACTGGAGGGCTTTGTTCTAAGGTAAGTACTTCATAATTTGCTAGCATGCAATGCATACTAACATATTTTGCCATTGTCTTGCATGTTTTTTTTTTTGTTTTTTTTTAAAGGTCGTGGTTTACTAGCACTTTAATTAAATCTGATGGAGGAATTAAAGGGAGACAGTACAGTTACAATACAATAAGTTACAATACAATGGGTTAAGAGGGCCTTGCTCATAAGAGTTTACAATCTAACAGGGTGGGGCAAATGATACAAAAGGTAATAACTGTGAAGGATAAGCTGATGGAAGAATTAAAAGGTCAGTTGTTAAGTGGAGCTTCCCTGAAGAGATTCATTTTCAGGGATTGTCTAAAGGTCTTCAGAGTAGGAGAAAGCTTGACAGATTGAGGTAGAGAGTTTGAGAAGATGGGAGATGCTGTGGGGAAGCCCTGGAGGCGAGCATGGGAGGAGGAGACAAGGGAACTAGAGAATGGGAGGTCTTGGGAGATGTGAAATAGACAGTTTGGGTTATATTTTTTGATAAGTCTGGTGATGTGGTTTGGGACAGAGTTGTGAATGGCTTTGTATGTTGTTAGTATTTTGAATTTATTTAAATTGGCAATTAGAAGCCAGTGGAGGAATTGAGAGAAGTGTGGCGGATACTGAGCATTTAGTAACATAAGATCAGAATTTTCCACCGAACATTGATTTTCCAGTCAAAGTTTGTTGAGCTAGCAAGCTTTACACATGCTAAAAAGATTCCATTCCAAAAAGATTTTGGAGGAGCCTGCAAGCCATGACGTCACGCCGCCGGATCACGGAGGTCCGGCAGCCATCATTCTTAACCAGCTGGTTAGTGCTCATAGCAGCTGTAAAGCTGTCATCATATATTGCTGCTGCTGTTGTAACATAGCATTTCTGACACATCCTTGGCACTTACTACCTTACATGTATGGAGATATCCTATTACCCATTTGTTCATTTCGCTATCCTTCATTAAACATTTATGAATATACTACACTATGGGTATTTCCATCTTTTGCTCTGCACTGAGCATTTAATCCCCCAGAGCTCCCCCTGGTGACTATCCCATCCTATTAAAGAGGCTGCACCCGTGTCCTTAAAGTGGACCTCCGGTTGAATATTCCTGATGACATCCATCTATTTCGGGCTGATTCTATTCCTATCCTGAGAGGGACCCATTGGCAGATCTCCATTTAACTATACATTGCGTCCGGTGAGGGTGCACTTTATCCGTACTTTGCCTCTCACCAATTTCTTGAGGAAGTGATTAATTGGGGATATTTGAAGTCACGCTGAGCTCTTTACACTTATTATGAACTTTTATCATATACATGTATTTTGTGCCATTTTATTTATCGGGACTATTCATATTTCATATTTTAGCACTGCACTTATTTTATTTTATATTCCATATACTGCACACCTTGTTCTTGCTCAGATGAGCTGTAAGAATTCATCCTTGCCATCCTAAGCCTTGTCCCGTAGACACAACACACTAGTCTGAAGGAATGTCGGGTTTTGAGTTCAAAATAAAACAATATGCAGTATATCTCTACAAAGCATGAACATTCCTTTGTATTTTATCTTTTTAAAGACCCTTCCAGTACAGGCAAATACTTCTTGATCTCACATACATGCACTCTTAAGCTAGCAGTACACAGGATTTTGTAGACTGAATGCTATCAGCCCATCTAATGTCTTTGGCTTAACTACTCAACCACTCCCACTTTCAGGTCTGTACAACATAAATGCTAATTGTTCTGTCCTTAGAAGATAAGAACAAGGAGGGCTGATTAGCCTCTTTGAGATTACATAGGAAGTCTGCACAGGACCTGGGACAGTTCTGAATTTGATACAAGATAAGTAGGTCACTTATCAAGCAGATAGAACAAA